CTATTTTGTTGAGTGCTTTAATCATGAAAGGGTGTTGGATTTTATCAAAGGCTTTTTCTGCATCAATTGATAGGACCATATGGTTCTTGTTCTAAATCCTTTCTACTCTACTTAGACACACTTACCGCTTTATCACTTTCTCTGTGAATAACCTATTTGTCCTCTTGGCAGCCCATGGGTATTAACTACTCTCTCCAACACTCCAACTCAAAGGCATTAATTCTTCTCTTATTCTTAGTCATTGCTCACTTTCAGACACATAGCAAGCAATTGAGAATGCCATGGCCTGGATAAGATGCACTTCAGTCTTTAGACTGACATCATTGCTTTTTAGAACTCTGGAAAGGTCCTTCATAGCATATTTTCCCAATGTGACTTAACTTTTGATTTCTTGGCTTTAGGTACCAAGGGTGTTGATTGTATATCACAGCAAGGTGAACTTAGTAATAACGTCAATCTGTTCTCCATCTATAATGATGCTGCTTATTGGCCTGATGATGAGGATTTTTGTCTTCTTCATGTTGGGATATGATCTAAATTAAAGTCGATAGCCCTTGACTTTCTGTAGCAAGTGCTTAAAGTCCTTACTTTCAGTGAGCAAGGTTGTGTTAGCTGCATGATGCAAGTTGTTTGTTGATGAGTCTTCTTCTGATTCTGATGCCATATTCTTCTTCATAAAGTCCAACTTCTTAAATTCAACCGAACACCTCCTGGTATTTGGTTCCTTGGTTTGCAAGGTTAGAGACCAGAAGAGCTAAATGATTCCTGGCTACTATTACCAAAGATTTTGACAATGATTCCTGGGAAGAAACCTGATCAAATAGGAAAAATGCAGAACAAGCTTTCAATTTCTAATGGGTTCTAGAATTTTCTGAAGCCAAAGAGGCAAAGAGGGTGGATGAGTGCTAGAAACTATCACCTTAAGACAATCTTTAGATCTGAAATAAAAAATATCTCCTGAAGTCAACACTCAGTCTCATAAGGACAAATACTGCATAAGATCATTATTACATAAATAAAAGAATAACTTGTAAGATGTGTATATATGTCCAAAAGGGGAAGGGAAAGAAGACAAGGGGATGGAAAATGGAGAAGCAGAGAAATCACTAGAATAGCAGTTTGGTGGGCATATAAGGGAGTTAAGGAATAGGAAACACAATGAGGACCTGAAGAGATGGAGTAATAGTGGTCATAGATCAATGGTGATTAATTTTACCAAGTTCAGTGTACATGAATGATTGCATGAAACAATGTGAAAGAAGGATTGTGTGAAACACAGTGTACATGAATGAAACAAAGTGTATATGAATTTTGTATATAAATCAATATCAAATTTTGGAAAGTTGTTATTAACACACACACACACACACACACACACACACACACACACACACACCCCTCCACCAAGCATTAGTTCAGCAACTAATAGAAGGCTATCTTGAGCAATGTGATATTTTAGGAATGATCTTTATGGGATTAAATTGACATCTGTGATTTGAAAGATTAGAGGACAGCTTCTTAATGGGTGGTGAGTTTATGCTCGTGAAGAAGGAACAAGACAAAAAAAGGAGAGGAAGAATGGTTGTGCACCAAGAAGAATGTTATCATTGTCATTATAGACACATGTGGAATTAATGTATATTTTGCTGAGTATATTCTCAGCAATAACAAAATAAAAGATATGGAAAAACAAACACCATGTCAGGTCAAAGTATGGCCACAGACTAACACTTTAGTCCCTTGGTGACATTTTTTTAAAAACCGTTTTGAACATTTGCATTGCACCTCTCACATGGCAAAGCCATTTGTTCTCAAAAAGAGAACAGTGACCTTAAAGAGTTTGAACTGACAGTTAATGTCTTTCAGAAAAGTTTCAGAGCCCATAGAAACATATTCTTTATAAGATGACTTAGTAATTATAGTGATTAGAAATAAGTTTCATTTTCACACCTTGAACTATAGGGACTCCTTGAGGCATTTATAATGGCTGCAGCTTCCTGAAACAGCAGCCAGTTTCAGGTTGGTTTTCTCAAACAGTCAAGGCATCAACCTTTCAGACAAATTGGAGGCAGGTAGGAAGATATTATTATGTGATCTCACAAGTATGCAATTATAATATATGCTATTATACCTTGCAAGGAAGGTCTTCACAAGTGTATTTACAAGCAGGTATTTCAATCTATTCAACATTACAGAATGTAATTTCTAGGCTGATGAAAAAATATTTATAGCACATTTTGTTGTAATTGTCTTCAAGGGTTAGATTTAGTTACAGAAATAATACAACAATTACAGATAGAGTCTTTTCCTCAGTTTTTATTATCTTTTATAATTAAGATTAAGATTAATATTTTATGAGAAAGTTGCTTAGAGAGGTGGTTTGATTATTTCTGGATGGTGGAATGAGGATACCTGAGAATGTAAAATTTCTGTTACATACCAGCACGAGTAGCAGCAATACAACAAACATCCAACGACAGAACGATGACCAGTAATATTTCCCAGCCTGCGCTGGTGCAACTTTGCTACGAGAACGTGAACGGATCTTGCATTAAATCTCCATACTCACCTGGATCCCGAGTCATTCTCTACACAGCTTTTGGCTCAGCATCTGTACTGGCGATATTTGGAAACCTTATGGTGATGATTTCTGTCCTGCATTTCAGGCAACTGCACTCTCCAACCAATTTTTTGATTGCTTCTCTGGCCTGCGCCGACTTCCTAGTGGGTGTGACTGTGATGCCCTTCAGCTTGGTCAGATCTGTGGAGAGCTGCTGGTACTTTGGTTCTCAGTTTTGTACCCTTCACAGCTGCTGTGATGTGGCATTTTGTTACTCTTCTCTCTTGCATTTGTGTTTCATCTCCATCGACAGATACATTGCTATTACTGACCCCTTAGCCTACCCTACTAAGTTCACGATGTCAGTGGCAGGGATATGCCTCAGCATCTCCTGGATCCTACCTATTGTGTACAGCGGAGCTGTGTTCTCCACAGGCATCAGTGATGACGGCGTGGAGGAATTTGTAAGTGCCCTCACCTGCATAGGTGGTTGCCAGATTGTAGTAAACCAGGACTGGGTGTTGATAAATTTTCTTTTAATCTACACACCTACTCTTGTTATGATCATTCTTTATAGTAAGATATTTCTTGTAGCCAAGGTACAGGCTAAAAAGATTGAGAGTACTAGTGGTAAACCAGAATCATCATCAGAGAGTTACAAAGCCAGAGTGGCCCGGAGAGAGAGAAAAGCTGCTAAGACTCTGGGAATTACAGTGATTGCATTTATAATTTCATGGTCTCCATACACAATTGATACATTAATTGATGCTTATATGGGCTTCATCACCCCTGCCTACATTTATGAGATATTCTGCTGGGCAGCTTATTATAACTCAGCCATGAATCCTTTGATTTATGCTTTATTTTATCCTTGGTTTAGGAAAGCTATCAAACTTATTTTAAGTGGGGATGTATTAAAAAGGAGTTCATCTACCATTGTTTTGTCTTCAGAGTAAGTATAAATATTAAATTATATTTTAGAAAGTTTTTATAAAAATATTTAAAATAATGAATTCATGATAAAATACTATAAGACATGAGTAAAGCTCTTAAAATTGGGAAAGTGGATTAGTTTTTAAATTCCCAAGAAAATTAGTCGTTGGAATGTGCCTCCATTTAAACCATAATAAGATATATGCTGTCATAAATATTCAAGGGTGAAGTATTTGTGTCTGTTGCCTCCCTCAATGCATTATGTTCTTCTTTCTTTTGTGTACTTGTTTCTTACAATTCAGTAAAGTTTCTTACTTTTGGATGTGAAATCTAACTACTTTCTCCTTCACCCCTTACACTAATTTATCTTCAAATGGTATTCTCAGTTCTTCGTGGTTTTTTTAGGGGCAGAGGAAGTGGGGATGCGTTCTATGTGTGTGCGTGTGCACCATGTATGACACAATTCTGATGTGTGGACTTCCTCAAAGTTCTTTTGTGACTATTTTTTCCATTTGCTGTCTGTACCTTTCGAGAGCATCAGGAAGAGCAGGTAAACCCTTTTTGCTTTATGGCTGATGAGCAAGTAAAAGTAAAAAGCACATCAATTCTGATGCTATTCTTATTAGAAAATGGAAATTTTTTAAATAAATTATCACTTCATAGGTTTCATAGCTATCACCTGCAATTGCACTTCCATATCAATATTTCTCATCTAAAAATAGTATGTGGTATGTGTTCCCAGAAGCAGGAATGGCATCCAATTCCTAAACATGCCTCCCGATGCTCTATGAACTTTGATAAATGTTGATAGTTGTAGAGGGGCTTCAGGCCTTTTGTTCATAGGGTCGTTATGAATCATGCTCAAAGGCAATCTACAACAACAACAACAATAACAACATCTCTTCCCAGAATACTGTGGAGTGATCCTTTGGCTATAATTCCAGGAATTTCTAGGGAAAAGATCATAAACAATGTATGATACAATTTACATTTAGTTCTTGAAAATATTTTATACTTGTTATTAAATAATAACACTTTGGAATGCATTCTGGAAGTATTTTGAATAAAGAATCTTAATAATTGTAGAGTAGTTGTGCATTGACCCTCTTTTTATTGTTGTTGTTGTTAACCTATGGGAGCACTTATTAAAATTAAGGAATAATCTTTTTTCAAAAAAATACTGAGCATAGACTTTACATAGAGAACAGTGTCAATAACAGTGAAGGATTAAAAAAAATGTAGGTAAATGGGTAAGAAAAACACATGGGATGTTATATTTTAAAAAACCAGAAGGCATCAGACATGATTCAATGTATATATTTAATGTAGAGAAGAATAAAAACTATTTATATACTGATCCCATAAAATGCCAAAAAGACAAATTAATTGGTCTTGAATAAAGTGTAACCAGAATGCCCCTGAGAGGCAAGGATGGTGAGACTTCATCTCAATTGCTCCAGCCATGTTTTCAGGAGGAACAGTCATTGGAAAATGACATCATTTGAGATTAGAGGCTCAGTAAAAGAAAAGGCCAACCACAGATGACTTGACATAGTGACTACCACAATGGACTTTAGCAGCATGACAGAGATCATGAGGATGGCACAAGATAGGGCAAGGCTCAAATCTGCTGTTACTAAGGTTGCTATGAGCCATCTACATGATGGCATCTAACAACAATGGAGACTTACAGTTGACTTACTCCTATAGTGTTATTTTGTGGCCATATAGCCTTAGTGGGTAAATGAAAAGTTTATGAAAACTTATTTTTAACTGCAAAAAGGTTTTTAAGTAAATCTTGTAGCCTTAGAGAACTGAGGATTCTCTTCCATAAGTGTACGATTGGGCTGATCACACTGGAAAACAATGAGGACATTGTTAAGACTAGTACTTAATGTCTAGTAACATAGTACTATATTTTTATTTGTTTCATATGTGTTTGAAGATTGGACAGTGAATATGAAGGCCCAAAGAAGAATGTATGCCTTTAAATAGTAGTATATCTCAGATTGCAGGAGAATAAAACTTTCTTAGAGGACGTACAACTGGGGTTCTCATTAAGAGGCAAAGACGGTGAAACATACTTGGAGCATGTTATCAGGAGGCAACCACCCCTCCAAGATGCTTGGAAAAGTTGAGGGTTAGTGAAAGAAAGGGAGACCCTCAACAAGATAGATTGACACAATAACTGGAAAATGAGCAGGGCAGCAATTGTGAGGATGGCACAAGAATAGAGCAAGGTTCAGATCTGTTGTTCCTAAGAGTTGCTTTGAGTCATAGATAACTGGATAGTGCCTAATAACTACAACAGCAATAGAATAGTGAAAATAAATTTCTCACTATTACTTGCTATACTCAGGAATTCAGACTAATGGTAGATAATTTGAAAATCTGTTATTATCATCTTTATATTTAGGATATACAGAACAAATAAAAAAAGTTAAAGAATTGAATAGCACTCTTATTCAACAAACAGCCCATAGCAATGCAATGTTTTCAGATTAAATTAGAACTATTGAGTATAAGATTTTGAAATTTATCTCAGTATAAGCAAAATATGTTATAAATGATGGCAAAACCTCTAGTTCAATTGTAATGTATCATCAAATGAGTATGAGGATCTTTGATAAAGAGAAGATAGCTTAGATTCTTCCCATATCCTTCCTGATACTCTTTCTTGACTTATCAAATGTGTTTATAATTGCTTTCTCATTACACAAGCATATCATGGTGTTGATGGTACCATAAAAGGTCCTCCTGACAGTGGATGACTGAATGAGTATTGTTCACATGATTCTAGGAAAACCCACCTAAATCTTGAATTGAGTTGATCACTGCAAAGAATGTTAACTCAGGCACCGAGCCATGCTGAAATCTCTGGACCATAACTACTTTTTGGTTCTCGAAGATCTTATTTCTAATTGAATCCCTCATTAATAAGATAAAATATATTTATCAGCAGAATTCAGCACAAAATTATAGTAAAATATTAACAAAATTCCTTCTAGGACTCTGATAAAGACAAGACTGACTAATATTACCACATTGTTTAAAAACTATTTGTCTATAGACCTTAAAATGGGACATGGAGGCACAGGGCCCTGAGTGTCTCTCTGAAAGGGCCAGAGGGGGTAAGAATAGCAGAGCATGGTTCTTGCCTTCAATGATGGAAGAAAAGCCATTTGATGAACTGAAATCAGAGTTGAGACTAACTGAGGAATTGTGCCTTGGGACTGCTGGGCTAAAACCTGGACTTGTATTATAAGGTATTCTTTGTCTCCCCTAGTCTCCAACTTATTTCCCTAATAAACCTCATTCTGAGTACCACAACTGTGAATGAAGTCTGTGGGTCAACAATGAATTAATGGACATCTTGCTGACAGTATGGCTCTAGAGACACCATAGGGTTGGGCTCTGGGGTCTTTGTCTGTTTTCTGCTCTGGGGTGGTGAATGGCTATGCTATTATCACTCCTTCTGTCTCTTTCTGATACAGGCCACGATCTTTGCAATCGCTTGTTATGCATCAGAGAACTGGACAATGACTAGAGAGGACAGAAGGAGAGTTGATGCCTTTGAGCTGTGGTGCTGGAGAAGAATACTGAATGTACCATGGACTGCCAGGAAAGCAAACAGATTCATCTTGGAGAGGATTAAACCAAGCTACTCCTTGGAGGCAAGGATTCTGGGGCTTCGTCTGACATACTTTGGACATGTTGCCGGGAGGG